TGCGAGTCTGGTGCCCAGTATTGTTTATTTATTACATTAATAAGCTACCCTTCTTCAAGATGATGTAATGGTTCCCCTCCATCACAACCTAATGAGGAGGATCTGATTGAGAAAGATGGCGAATGACTCAATAGCAGTGAGTCAGTTTCACACATTACCTATAGTTTCTCATCAAGAAAAACAAACAACATTAAGTAGAAAAATATTAACTGGTTACATAAACAGAGCACAACTGATTTTCTAGCTTCATAGTCTGCTTACTGACTTCATGGCTCATTTTAATTGTTTTCAGACTCTCTGATTAAAAAGAACAGGAAAAGAAGACTTGAATAGAGAGATGTCTCTCTATTCAAAATTCTGAGGCAGAGCAATTGGTTGCTACTGGATCGTGACAGTCACCCCAGTCCAGAAAGGTCCCTTTCAGGCAAAATCTGGCTTAAGATCACCGAGTCATGGTTGTTGTGGGTTTTCAAGGCTGTTTGGCTGTGTTCTTCTGTGTCAAGAAGAAAAACCTGAAGAACATGGCCAAACAGCCCGGAAAACCCACAGCAACCAGACCTCGTTCTTCTCCACGGTAGAGCTTGGCCAGGACAGGAGGTACCCCAAAGAGGAGCAAAGCCCCATTCCTTAATGTTTGGACCAGCTGTTTTGTGCTTCTCACCCCTTCCTCCAATGGACAATAAAGTCCCCAGGGTCAGCACGCGTTCCTTGAAAATGTGTCGGCTAACTCCCGAGCAAACATGGATCCCCAGGGAAGTCATGAAACTTGAACAGCACAGGATGTTTCTGTACGCTGGAGAGAGCTGAGGAATGCAACTTGGGGAGTGTCCCTGTTCCTCTTGACTGGGAGGGGACATTGAGGCATCCAGGAGGATCTCTAGAGCATCATTTCCGGGCGTCCCGGACGACGGCTGGACAAACCCCAGGGGGGCTTGGCTCTTGTCCCGTCGTGGTTCTCCAGTGGAATGATGGATCGGAGTCTCCCTGAACAGGCTTGAATCCCCACTAAAGTAAATGGAAAACTCCCAGCAGGTCGGACCAAAAGCTTTTATCTCGTTGAGCATTCTGCTCCTGTAGCAGCCAACCAAATGCCTCTGGAAAACCTCCAAGAAGGTTTCACACCAGGTCCACAACAGCACATAGCTTGTGGTCTCTGTCCTCGGAGCTTTGACGTTGCAGGTAGTCGTGGAATAACACCCACTGAAAGATCTCCCCAACTCCTAATCCCCTTGGAAAGCCTGGTAGACATCACATCTTGTAGCCATGAGTTCTGCAAGCTGGTGGCACGCAACAAAAAGGACTCCCTGTCCACTGCATGGCTGTATAATGTTAACCTTCTGGGTTTCTTATCATAGCACATGACTTGGGAAGTCCGAACGAGGCAGTAGGAGGTGGAGAAGCCAATGTTAACCTTCTGGGTTTCGTATCTTAGCACATGGCTTGGGAAGCCCGAACGAGGCAGTAGGAGGTGGAGAAGCCTCTCTCGGGACATGCAGTTCTGGACCTTTTGTGAAAAAGACTCAGAGGCATTGTTTTAATGGGTTGGGACTTTGGATCTCCATTTTACTAGCAAGGGATACACCGTATGATGCTGGGTTAATAGCCTTGTCAGTCCAATTAAAAAAATCATTTTAACAGTTGTGCCTGGTTTGAAATTGCAGGTCTTTTTAAAACACAAGATGTTGCAAAAAAAAGTGTTCTGGGGGAAACAACCTGATTTTTTAATTTTTTTTTTGAGGGATTTCTATTTTCTAAGATAGGGGACAGAAAGAGTTTTCCAGCTCCTTGGAGCGTCTGTGGGCTGCTCTGAGTTCCATCTAACGTAATTGCATCCTCGGATCAACCCCCTTTTAAACGTCTGCAAAATCTTCTTCCTTTGCAACAACATTCCAGCAGGAAAGATCCATGATCTCAACAGCTCGTGCCCTGCGTTGTGTTTTCGACTGCAGCCTGGATTTTGGAATTTGCTTTACGGCCAACGCTTCGTTTTTGATTTCTTCCGTGCCATCGAATGGTGTCCAGCTCACTTATGAAGCAGTGACCTCCAGAATCTCCTGTCCTCAACAGTCCTGCTCAGTTCTTGCAAGCTCTAGGCGGTGGCTTCCTTTATGAAGCCAATCCATCTCATATTGAGTCTTCCTCTTTTCCTGTTGCCTTCAACCTTTCCCAACGTTATTGTCTCTTCCAGCAATTAATGATGTGTCCAAAGCACGATTGCTGTAATCATTTAGTTTTTGCTTTGTTTTTTACCTCCAGGGAAGAGTTCAGGCTTGATTTAACCTTTATTTGTCTTTCTGGAGGCATCATCTGATCTAGTACCCCTCTATTCGCATTTATGAAAACCTATATTATCTGTGGCTTTTGACAGCGCCCTGGCATCTCCTGGGGAGAGAGAGAGAGGAGTGTCTTTGGTCAGCTGTTCAGCGCTATCCGAATCCACCATTACTGGAATTAAGCTGAGCACTAAAGACTTGATAGGCGCTGACAGGATTAATCAGCTCATTAGCATGGCTCTTCCTAACTAGCTGGTTAGCCGTGAAGCAGCTGCGGGGAGCCATTAAAACTCTCAAATGAACGTTTAACTGTGGCCCAAGCATTCATTTGTGTCTTACAATGGGCTGGAAAGCTGCGTATGATCTGCTCCAGCCCAAGACACCTAATAATAATCTAATAATTAGGCGCAGTTGAGTTAATTCTGAGATATGGCAATCCTTTTCAGGATTTTCCGGGTAGAGAATACTCTTAATAATTGGGCGCAGTTGAGTTAATTCTGAGATGTGGCAATCCTTTTCAGGATTTTCCGGATAGAGAATACTCAGAAGTCATTTCCTTTTAAGGTGCCTTGCCAAGAAGCATTATCTCCTACCCACTTCATGTGTAAGCTTCCCGGGAAAATGGCAGAGGAGAATGTGTTGTTCTCCTCCAGCGAAAATTTAAGCTTTCGGAAAATGGAAAGGGAGCATTGTGGGAGGCGCCGGCATTTATTTTCCCGTTTCCTGACAATCGGCCGTAGATTCTAGATTCTGGTGTCTTCTAAAATTTGGCACCCTGGAGCAAAGCTCAGATTATTCAACCTTAATCCAGCCCTGCTTGGCTGGGAGGAAAAGCAACATAGGGTCATCTGGGGTTGAGACCACTACAGATCCTAGGTAGAGCTATACCTGTGTAATGGAGAAATGATCTAACACTCCCAAATCTCCCAGCCAGCATCCCCCCCGTGGGTTACTTTGGGAGTTATAGCGCACAAAAGTAACTGTTCCGTTTCTAGAAATTCTTATAAGCGCTAATCAGAAGATGGGTTTTGTAGTTGGCCAAGAACTTAGCTTTGGGTTCAAAGGGCCAGGTTTGAATCCAAGCAAATATAAATAGATTAGGCAGATTTACATCATCTACTGGGCAAAAAAATAAATAAATCGTTTTTTAACCACTAGAAAGCTTAAATTATTGACTAAGCCAGTGGTTCTCAAATTTCGGTCCCCAAATGTTCTTGGACTCCAATTCCCAGAAATCCTGGCCAGCACAGTGAGTGGTGAGGGCTTCTGGGAATTGCAGTCCAAGAACATCTGGGAACCCCAGTTTGAGAACCAAATTGTTTAGGGTTTTGCACATTTCTGGACTAAATCTGTATGCAAACTTGAAGCTAAAAATTTCTTGCTGTGATCAAAGCCAGAGTGTTAGCCAGGCAGTTTCTGGCTGGGCATTCTGGACTGGATAAATCTATTTTCCCAGGGTCTGTTGAGATCTCACGACCATAATGTTACCCTTTTTAAAAAAAAGATTATTTTTGGCAAACTTTGTGATTGGGGAAAAGAGAGTCTTCCTTTTATTGTGATTGCAGCCACTCTTTTAGATGGCTTTGAAAGAGGGTTACCTGGGCTCATGGGAGGTTGGCGTGCACCGGTAATATTTGCTGGGCGTTCTCTACGGAGCTTCCATTTTTAGGAATAAACTATCTGTACTCCATCCATCATAGCGGACAGCAGGTGCTTTTTGTAATCCTACTTGCTGGGTGCCTCGGAAGGCAATGTGAAACTTTTTATAAAGCACCCCGCCGAGAGCATATATGGGATGGCCGTTCATTCTAGGGCTGTGCAAAGGTGTTCTTATTTGGGAACAAGGCTATGCCTCCATCGGCTCTCTGCGTGACATTCTGTAGGTATTAAGTTATTAGTGGCAGGACAGTAAAATGTCCTTGTAAAAAAATGCACGGGCTCCTGAAGCTTGCAGAATGCCGAGCTGAGCTTTGCCTCTAGGGCTGGATTCCAACCCGTCTGCCCCACCAAACACGGCCGTCCCCAGGTGTCCTGATCCTAGCCCGCAGGCCATTTTTCCCAGCTATGACGCGCAAGCGAGTTTGGAATCCTTCCCTCCGACAGCTGCACAAACAACAACTCCTTCGCTATTCCCTTGGGGAAGCTCCAGGCCCTTCGCTGCAGGAGTGTGATTTACGAGCGGGATCCACAGAAGTGCCACTTCTGTTCTTGTGCTGCTGCCTTTCAATCGGCCAGGCTAACATTCGACTGCGGGTCCTTCTCAGAGTAGACCTACTGGATCAACTGGATTTACACAAGTGCTGCTTTCCCATTGTTGGTTGGGTGGATCCGTCCTGGAGATCAGCCGACGGATCAGGCCCATGTGATGGATGCGCAGGGGTGTGTGTTAAAAAAGCTCCCACACTGAATGCATTGGGGAGTGACCATGTTAAGGAGAAAGTTAGATTCACAACAACCTCAAAGGCTGTGTTTAAAAAGGAACTAATTGCATCAGTCATTACTTCTAGGCTGAGAAGTTGCAACTAACGAAAGGGTTGCTCCAATCACACAAGTCTTTGATTGCATTGCACTGTTTTATTGTGTCTTGTTCATGCAGACAGGCCAGGAAAATATAGGGAAATAATACCTTGCTCCCTCTAGTGACAAGTTCTGATATTGCAACTTGATATGTTTCTCATTCAGCTGATGAAAAGTAGGAAAAGATGAGAGACAGAAGAATACTTCCCACTGAGCCTGCTTTCTAGAAATGTTTCTAAAATGCAGTGAATTGCTGTAACTTTTGAAAGCAACTATGTTACTTGTTTCATCTAAGTAAGTGGTGCCTCGCTAGGCGATTACCTCACAAAACGGTTAATTCGCAAGACGATGGGTTTTTGCGATCGCTATAGCGCTTCACAAAATGGTTTTCCCTATGGGCGATTTTCGCTAGATGATGTTTCGGACCGTGTTTCGCAAGACATTTTTTTTCCAGACGGTTTTTCGCAAGACAACGATTTTGACAGCTGGGTCCGCGCTTCGCAAAACGGTTTTCCTATAGGCGATTTTCGCAATACGAGAATTTCCCCCCCCCCTTGCAACGCATTAAATAGATTTCGATGCATTCCAATGGGGAACTTCATTTTGCAAGACAATGTTTTCGCAAGACAGTGATTTTCGCGGAACGAATTAACATCGTCTTGCGAGGCACCACTGTAACTTTGGTGCTGCTCACTGCATTTTAAAAACAACGTAACTACCAGTTGCATTACTCATTACCCAAAGGAACTAGTCACTTCCAAACTCTGGTTGGACCAAACCTCTGCTGACATGCTAATTTCTCTGCAAAAGGAGGCTCTGCCTGATTCAAGGCTGGATCCCAAGATTGGCTTTATGCATCACAGGGTCACCTTGAAGGAGGAAAAGCAGAGGCTCGCTTGCAGTTGACCCAACGGGGCAGCTAGCATGGGAGAAGAAGGCCAGCCCTTTTTAGGCCCTACCTCAGAGGTTTGTGAGGATAAAGTGAAGAAGAGGAGAAAGGAAAACCACATCCATAGGTTGCCTTGATCTCAACCAAGTACGATGTGGACAGGACAAACAAATGTGTGAATGAAACCTTAAATCAGTACGTAAAGGAGCAATAGGACAGCACTTTTCAAATACTTGAAAGGCTGTCATTCAGAGGAAGGGCAGGATCTATTCTTGACCATCCCACAGTGCAGGACGCATAATAATGGGCTCAAGCGATATAGGCAGCCAGATTTCACCCGATTAACTGCTAGAGCAGCACAACGATGGAACCCATGACCTCAAGGGGAGGTGGCGAGCGCTCCAGCGTTGGAGGCATGCAAGAGGCAATTGGACCACCCTCTGTCTGATCTGCTTTGATTTGGATTCCCGCCTTGAGCAGGAGGTTGAAGTCGATGGCCTTACAGGTCCCTTTCTAACAAAGTTATTTTACGATTTGATGAAATGAAAATCAATAACCTGTTATCCTTTGGTGTCCTCTGTGGTCTTCTCTTGGTAGGGTTCCATGCCTGTCCTGAATTGATGGAGAGCTGGCTGCCTACCATCCTACTCCTAAGAGACTATAAGATCCCCTCAATGTTCACCATGTACAGGTAAAAGACACCTCTCCTCTTTCCCCAGTCCTTTTTCCCCTCCTCTCTTTTCTTACTTGCAAGGAGAGCTGAGGTATGTTACTTTTTTGGACTACAAATCCCAGAATGTTGGGGCTTGTAGCCCTCAAATTTTCTCAGCTCTTCAAGATCATAGAAGTTAACGTTTTCATCCACCTCTGCCAAAATCTCATGATTTCCCCAAAGCCCCAGGCTATTTCTGCTGGAAATCTCCGTCCTTGGACCTTCATGTGAGGCTGATGGTTTGCCAAGGCGTAATGAAACCCTCTGAACTTCTTTTTTTTTCCTCCAGTGAGCAGGAAATGAAGAATTCCCTGAAGATCTTGATGGAGCTGGAGACCCAGATCGTGGGCTGTGGGGCCAACCCCTTTGCTTCCCTCAAACCGGAGCAAGCTTACACCAATCCCAACAAATCTCCCGTCTACTGCAACTCCCATTACGTTGTGTTCCATGGGCTTGTGGAGCCTGGGGATGGAATGGATGTTGGAGAGATGGAGGGAGAAGAGCAAGACGAGCAGAATTAAAAGCTTTATATGGAAGGAACTGGAAATTTGCAGTGACCCTAACAGGTGTCATTTCTTCCTGCCCAAAGACTGAAGAAAGTCAATGGGCCTGGTTTGTCCATGCTTATTCTTAAAAGATGCTTTTCTCTTTTAAGAAGGACTTGGATGAGCCCATTGTGACTTGCCTTGTCCTTGAATGCTCCCATCGGACAATATTTCAAACTCATTTTGATTCCTGTGCCTATCTATAGGTCTTCCTCCCTGTCCAGCATGCGTTGGGCTGGGCTAGAGGTTCTCAAACCCGGGTCCCCAGACGCTATTGGACTGCAACTCCCAGAAATCCTGACCAACACAGTTCATGGTGAAGGCTTCTGGAAGAACATCCGGAGGTTGGGGACCACTAAACTAGAGCCTAGAAATGCGTGAGTTTTGGAGACGGCTACTTCCAGAATCCGCCAAACAGCCAAGCATGCTGGCTGTGGCAGGGGGCAAAATCTGGATACAGCGTTGGAAAAGAAAAAAAAAAGAAAATCAGTGTCCCAAGCTATGAGTTCCTCCAAGGTGAAATCCTGCATGCCTTGTTTTCAGCACATCATTTAAATAATAATAATAATAAACTAAAAAGACCACAGTATGAAATGGCACGTCTAGATTCACACTGGCACCTTCCAGTACTTTAGAGCACTGGTTCCCCAACCTTGGGCCTCCAGATGTTCTTGAACTACAACTCCCAGAAGCCTTCACCACCGTTTCTGCTGGCCAGGATTTCTGGGAGTTGAAGTCCAAGGACATCTGGAGGCCCAAGGTTGGGGACCATTGATTTAGAGGGTTAATGGGTATCTTGGGAGCAAAGAAGAGGCGGAGTTCCCCTCCTCCTGCTGGAGAGTCAGTGGTTGAGGTCTCTGGCTGTGGAGCCAGAGGTTGGGAGTTTGATTCCCCCGCTGTGCCTTCTTGACATGGGGCTGGACTGGATGATCCCATGGGACCCTTTCCAAGTCTGCAGTTCTAAGATTATCAGATCTAAGGTTATACTGTATAAAATTCCTTGGTAGGAGGTTGTTCTAGACCCCCAATAAAGTTTCTAGTACACAACGGTCCTCCATTCCAGGAAAGGCCACCCGTAGGTATGTAGGAGCTGCGTCGGTTGTCACCGGGACCAACCCAATGGCGTTCCAGGAAAGGGCACCCGTAGGTATGTAGGATCTGTCTCGGTTGTCACCGGGACCAACCCAATGGCGATTCCCACCTGCATTGGCAGCCGTGGGATTGCCATAAGTCTTGACTTAGTGAGTCCCATTCATTTAATGGGCCTAATGAAGCTGGGGCCAACCAATTGTATTAGGCCCATTCATTTGAATTTAAAGGTCTAAGTCTAATTCCTTCTCCCAGAGAATCAAATTCAACCCTTACGGAAATCCCACGGATTTCAGCAGATCTATTTCTGCTAGTAGCAGTTATTATACTACTATAGTGTGGTGCTGCTGCGGGTTAAACTGCAGAAGCCTCTGTGCTGCAGGGTCAGAAGACCAAGCAGTCGTAAGATCGAATCCACGCAGCGGAGTGAGCCCCCATCGCTTATCCCAGCTCCCGCCAACCTAACCGTTCAAAAGCATGTAAAAATGTGAGTAGATAAATAGGTACCACCTCGGTGGGAAGGGAACAGCATTCCATGTCCAGTCACGCTGGCCATGTGACCACGGAAACTGTCTACAGACAAATACTGGCTCTATGGCTTGGAAATGGAGATGGGCACCGTGCCCTAGAGTCGGACATGATTGGACTAAATGTCAAAGGCATCTTTTACCTTTACTTAGTAGTTATTCAATTAAGGCCAAAGCCATCTAAGCCAAGAAACTCATTTGCAGGATGAGAACCGAATAGGAGCCCGGGTCTTATAATATGAAAACCCCACTCCTGGTTAAACTCAATTCTCTAAAGCAAGGAATAATAAGCATTCTCTGGATCCTCTTCAAGTCAACTAGGGATCTACCAGTAGATCGCAACTGACCTCTTGCCCATACCTGTTCTATGCTGACAGGTGACTATTAATGTAGAATATTGTTTTGATATTAAAAATTGCCTGTTGATTAGGTCTCTGGTTGTAGAGCCAGAAGTTGGGGGTTCGATTCCCCACTGTGCCTCCTGGACAGGGGATGGATTTGACAATCTCTTCCAGCTCTGCACTTCTAAGATGATGATGCAGCCCATAATCAGAAGAAAAGGCAGGACTTTAAAAGAATTTTCAAAATACTTTATTTCCATCACTTTATACACAGCAGTTTTTACCTGATTCTCAGTCACGGTTGACCTGTTTCTTCAAAGGCAAAAAAAAGAGGACCAGTAAACTTTTGGCATAATAAAATTATCATCTAAGAGGACAGGTCCTTAAAACCATTTTCCCGTCAGCGGTAGGTGGTGCCAGAAATCATTTTGTATTTAATGTAAAACTCTCATCTGACCCATGGGAAAAAAAAGTTTCATGGATTTTGCAGTATTTTGGTTGCTGCATGATGCCTGTTTTACCAGCTGAGATGAATTAAAATATCCTGACCCAATTTGACCCTTTTCAGATGTAGTGAACTTTGAAGGTAACTTTTAAAAAGTAGTTATTTATTGCAATGCCTCCTGATGTTAGCTTCTATTCATCCCTTTTTCCAATACTGAAGGCATAACATTATCATATGATAGTGGTAACATAACAAGGGCCAACTTCCCTCCTTTTTAAATTGCACAACTAACTAGTTTTTAAATAGTTTTGTAGTCACAGGGTATGCCTAGCCTCGTTATTTAGGTGTACCATAAGCCAGTAGCAATTTTTGAAAAACACATTAAAGGAATTGTTAGGGTTACTCTTGAATAACGAAAAAGAAAATGATTACTGTTTAAAAATGTCTAAATATCATGTCAAGTAACTAATCTTTGGTCCCCTGGAACAGTCACTTGTTGCTTTTAAAAAAATATTTTTGAAGCTTTGGAGACGATTTGCCTTATATAAGCCAAAAATGTGGAGGGCTGTCTGTCATACGCCCATTAATTAGATCAGATATAGGGGAAGATGTGGCCCCGAAGAAGCTTTTGGATTACAGTGTCCAGCAGCCCTTGGCAGCAAAGCTAATGGTAGAGGATACTGGGAATTGTAGTTCAACCACTTCTAGAGAGGTGCGCTGACCCACCTGTGCCTAAGAGGAACCCTATGCAAACGTGCCATATTTTCCCGTGTATAAGACTATACTTTGAACCCTATGCAAATGTGCCATATTTTTCCGTGTATAAGACTATACTTTTTTCTAAAAAATTGAGGGTCGTCTTATATACGGAAGTAAGCTGAGGAGAGAACAAAAACAAGTGGAGGGGAAAAGCAGGGATCAAAGTGATCCTGCAGTGCTTTGATCCCTTTCCCCCTACACTTCCTAAGACCCACTTATTTTTCTTAATTTTGGATTAGAAAAGTGGGGGGGGGGCGTCTTATACATGGGGGCATCCTATACATAGAAAAATACGGTACTATGCACAGCATGAGCTCTGGCGCCCTCTGGTGGGCAGTTCTGGTAATGGCGTATGCACAGCATGAGCTCTGGCTCCCTCTGGTGGGCAGTTCTGGTAATGGCGTTGTTAGAAATCTGTATTTTGGGGATTTTTCTTTTAATATTTTTAGACCGTGGATGAGTGAATCAGCATGAATCCCATTGATAAGTAGGTTCTATTGTACATTAAGGTGAAGAAAGCTTGTACGAGGGCAAACATCTTTTACCTCCTATGTCTGCATTTAAGCTGAACCTCTTGTGCAGATCGGCCCTAACGCCATTCCACAGGGATGTCGTGATGAGCTCTTAGGGGAAAAAAAGGTGGAGAAAACACAAACCAGACTCGCAATGCCTTAAAATCCATGGCAGAAAAAGCATCATGCGAGTGTCAGTGAGGAACAAAACATCCATGACGATGGCCACAAGACGTTGAGTTGACCCCACAATCGCAACGAAATCTTCCATCAGAAATGGCCTTGATCACTCCATTTTAAAAAGAGCTACAATTTACAGCGCTGCTGCTACATAAGTCACAAATTATTTACAGAGTTTTGCCCCCCACCTCATTCTGTTGTGCCGATGCTTATTCACCAGATGAAGAAACCAGTAGAAACCCACCTTGGACAGCTGAAATGGGAGTTTTCTGATGTTATGCATTTCTCTCCAAATCTGACAGAGAGAGAGAACTGATGGGGTGATGTTCATCCTCATTTCAGGAGGCACAAAAGGTGTGGACAAGTCTGCAGATTGACAGGTAAAACTGACATCCCCAGAGGCTCTGTCTCTCTGCTTATCTGCCTGAGGTTTTTTCCCCCCTTTCTCTTGTCAGGCTGGGTAAATCTGGGGCAGGATGGCAGGCAGGCAGGACGTCAGACCAATTTTTGACTTTCTTGGACCTCAAGCGGTTCCCGCAAAAGCATCTCGCTTGGATCCCTCTTCCTCGAATGAGCGCCACGCGTGCTTTCCGGGGACCATTTTGTCAAAATCTCTGCTTGGTTTCCTTGGCCCGTTGGGCTTCCATCAAGGGGCACCCAGACATTTTGGGGGCGTGCAATTAGAAACTAACTGTAGCAGCAGAAGAGGGGGAGAAACCCAATCCCCCCCCATAACTAGATCAATCAACAGCCAAAGCAGCAAAATATTCCTGTGCAGGAAGCAAAAGGAGAAGAACAGTGCAAATCCAACTGTGCTTGTACTGAGGAGGTCAGAAACCACATTAAGACCCGAGGTTGACATCTGAGGAGTCAAGGACACCAACCCAACAGCCCCCCCCCCAAAAAAAACATCCCAGCAGGAGTGGTGGTCTGGTTTTCAAGGCAAACTGGACGCTGGTGATGGGAGGAGAGTTGGCCACGAGGCCGGTGTGTGCTTTGCTCTGGCCTCTGGCAACGGGTCCCGATGCCATCCGCCTCCAAGGTGCGAACCTTTGCAGGCTACTGCTTGTGAATGCGGGATGCCCCCCCCAATCCCAAGGCACAGAGGAGGAGAAGGGGTGACAGCCGTCACTTCCGAGAGATGGAAGGATCAGGAAAGAACGAAGGGGGACCAGGGGAAAGGGCGGACTTTCTAGGATCCTGGCGAAGCTTCCCGAGGACCCAAAAGGAAGATCCAATTCATTTAAAAGTGTTGATGTCCTGGGGTTCTCATCCACCTCCCGGTTGCTGGTTAGGGGACAGGCTGCTACTGAAGAATGACTTGCTATCCCGGAGGGATGTACAGTGGTACCTTGGCTTACGAACATCCCTGCTTGGGAAGGAAGGAAGGAAGGAAGGAAGGAAGGAAGGAAGGAAGGAATTTTACCCATACAGGTATGTGCTGAAAAGTCCTGCTGAACTTTAATTTCTAAAGCCAAAATGGGCAAATCCCAACTCAGAAGAGGCAAATGCAATATTTTACAATACTTCTGAGCTGCTCTCTGCAGCCATGAGAACTAGGATCTTGACTTCAGACACATCCAAATTGGAGAGGTTTTAGGTAGAGAATGTTCAGTTATGCACTGGTGGGCAATGTGAAATCTCCATGGCCAAATGATTTAATTGGCTACTGAATTTTTTAAAAAAAAAACAGTTGAAGTTCTAACTTCATAGACATGAGGATCCCCTGTCCAGCTTGGTATTGCTACATCCCAGGTATGCAGAGGAATATCCGTGGAGCCAAGAACTTTGCCTGGTTTGTGGAGAGCTAGTCTAGAGCAGAGCGAACCAGGTTCGGAAAAATTACATTTTTAAACTTGCCATCCTCAGAATCCCTCAGCTGTTTGGGCTGCGAGATCCTGAGAGCTGTTAAGTCCAAAGACGTAGCTTTTCCCAGCTCAGCCGAAGTCCTCCCCAAGTTCACAGGGCTGACTTTCAGCCCTCTTAAGTCTACCAGTATTTATTCACCTCTGCTGTCCCAGCACAGAACTTAATGGAAAACAAAGACACTGGATCTTCGGTGCTGGATCTTGGCGGACACAGACTATGGGTGCAAGCCAAAAGACAGATGGGATTTGGACCAAAGACAGGGCTTCCTGAAAAATAGTCAACCATTGCAAAGAAAAAGAATTAAACATGGGATTTTCCTTTCTTTTGGGACTGCAACTCCCAGAAATTATCCCAGAAGCTGCAGCAGAAAAACTACAACTTAAAGGAGTTTTCCCCACCTCCACGTGGTCCTCTGTTACCATTACATCGAACTTCCAAGAAGGACACCGCTCCTGACGGATGGGGCCTGGGAATAGCAAGCGTCCTTGGGGGTCTCAAGGAAGCATGGGACAGGTAGTCTCACCGCTGGTTAAGCTGCTCAGAGGGAGTTTCTCAAAGAACCACACCTCCTTGGTTCCTTTGAGACTCCCATGAACCTCTGCACCAATTCCAGGTATCTCCAGGAGACCTGGAATCTCCTTTCTCCTGTCTGTGTTACAAATATACATGTTTTACACCACTTCACTAACAGCCACTGTGTTTGCCAGAGAATGCTGGGAATCCCAGTTGAGTCACGTCCTGAGAATTCCCCTTGAATGGAGAAGTCAGAAGCCCATCTGATTTGCAGGCTGGCCAGTCTCAGCATCCCCTAACATCAAACAGTCCTATTACATCGGTCGATGTCCATAATGTGAGTCTCCCTGGTGTCTCTGAGCCAGCTGTACGTGGGCCCTTGAGAGGCGAGCAGAGGAAACGGGAATCCAGGCGGGCACTGCCCCTTCACCGCAACCTCTTTTTCTGGCTGGGCGCAGCTCGGAATGGGGAAAGGTTTTACTGCAGTACCGACTCGAGTCGCCTATCCGTTGCAAAGGCCCCTCCTGGCAAAGGGACTCCCCAGAAGGAAGCCGTTAAGTCTTAAGATGCTCGGAGGGAAAGCAGCAGGAATAAAAGGTTGGAACCATGTCTTTCCGAGTCAGTTCCCAAATCTGGGGAAGTGGTTCTTCGGATGCAGGTTTTCCTTAGTTCAGTGGACGT